CACGATATGCAATTTCCAGTGTAGAGATCTTTACATCTTTTGTGCTTGATTTATCCCTAAGTATTTCAAAATTTTTGATGCTATTGTAAATCGTATTTTTTTACTTTCAAGTTCCAATTGTGTGTTGCTGGTATACGGAAATACCATTGATCTTTGCGTATTGATCTTGTATTCTCCTACTAGATGACACTTTCTTATTAGTTCCAGCAGCTTTTTGTAGATTCTGTTGAATATTTCTACCTAGATGAGCATGTCACCTATGAATAAGGACAGTTTCACTTCTTCATTTTCAATCTGCATGACTTTTATTTCTTTTTGAATTGAATCGAGATTTGCTGGTCCTAGAAGTACGGGCATCCAAGTCTTAAATCCAACTCTGCCTAACTCACTGCGTAACCTTTGGCAAGCCGCTTTCCTTCTCTGAGCTCTGATTACCCAGTAAAGTGATCTGTATGTTCTTGCCCACTTTAACAAAGACTGAGCTCGGAAAGATGTTAGCGCTCAGGCTGTAATCCACAGCTTCCTGCTGCCACGTCTCCGTCTCCGAGTCCTACCCTCTTCCCGTTAAGTGATTGACTCATTGTGCTCCTGACAGTTGGGTTGAACTGGAGTGTCCCGTTTCCTCCTCCCAGTGAAATAAGGGAGCGGCTGCATTCAGTCTTTCCGCATTTATTCCGCTGCCACCTGTTGGCAAGGCCCACTCTGCAGGGTGGATTATCTGTTTTCTAGCAAAAGCCAAAGCCTTTAACTCAGGAAAAAAACTAGCTGAGGGCCACATACATAGAAAGAGCAATTTTATTTAGTTTAAAAAATTTTATTCCTTTTAAACACATTCCCTTCTCTTGCTTTTGAATTGAGTCTTTATCAATAATGTACTGTTATGCTGTCCTGAGATAGGGTAGGCTAGGAAGCTGAAAAGACACAGCCCTGTCCTCCAGGAACTTGTCCAGCAGGAGCAAGGCACATTCGCTCTCCATCTGTGTGGGAGAGGGCTGGGCAGACAAGTTACACTGGACTATGTTAGAGAAGGCTAGAATCCCTGAAAATAGGGAATTTGGGCAACCCCATGCCATGATGGGAACGAGAGATATGACAGACTTTTTGTATTCTTTTGAGTCACCCCACATCTGGATTTCATTCCTAGGTTTGGGAGACGTCCCTCCTTCTGAGAAGGAGCCCACCTTCCATCAGATGGAAGGCTTGTCCAGCCTCCCTGTCATCCCGGGGATCACCTAGTCCTGCCCAACCAGATGTGTTCCCCTCATATTCTGAATCCAAAACTGGTGATACAGGAACCATGCAAATCTCTTCCAGCAATGGAAGGCAGTAGCAGCCACCTCTGACCCCCTGAGACAGTGGTATCGCATCCAGCTTCTAGAATTCAGAATCATCTGTTCCAATTCTTCCATCTTACAAATGCAGTGTGGAATAAATGAAGACCAACCAAAGGAGAACAGGCAAAGGCTATTTATTCAGAGCTTGCTATAGCAAGGAGGTCAGCCACCATCACTTACGTGTCTGCAGAGTGTGACAGCTTTACAGGAGAGAAAAAGGAGGCCTCAGGTCTGCCTTGATTGGAGGCTGCTGGGCTGGGGAAACTGTCAGGGCTAGCTAGAAGCAGGGTATGCCATGTGGTTGGTTAGGTGTGCGTATTTGGCTTTTTCTGCCTCATGCTAAGTTGGAAGTGGAGATAAAAATTAGTGAAGCTGTCATTTATTAATCAAGTCCTGGCCACTTGGGGCAGATTGCTACAGGGGTTACAGTTTGACTTCCTAGGATGGTTGCTAGAGATAGTGGTCTGACTTCGTACAAGTCTGACTTATAGATAGCAGACTGGCTTTCTGAGCTGGTTACTGTCGATAATGGGTTGGTTTCCGGGCTGGTTGCTGCCAATTATGGATCCGAGTTCTATTTTCATAGGTAATCTAGCCATTGTCCATTTGTATATTCAATCTCTCTGAGGTGGAACTGAGGCCCAGAGAAGCAGAGTGGCTTATCCAGGATCTAACAGCTAAGAATAACCAGAGCTGACAGGTCAACCTGAGGTTTAGCATATTTGTCTTATCACCTCCAAAGGAACTTACGTCCTGCTTATTAAGGAGACAAGGTTTAGACCCAGGGAAATGTGAAGTTCCACACAGGTGTCATGGAGATAAGTTGTGCCAGGAAGTTAATAGAGCTGCGACTTGGCAGGAAGGCTCATCACTCTCCTCTCCAGGCAGAACCACTATCAGCAGAGCCTCTGCTGATCCCGCGCTTTCTGTGTGCTGGGCGTTCCAGCCAGTCAGCAAAGCAAAGTGATCAAATGCACGGTTCTCCAGTCTGCCTACTGGCTTTGTACTTCAAGCCCACCGTTGCTAGCTGTGTGAACTTGAACAAGGTATTTTACGTTATGGTCTTCAGTTTCCTCATCTGTAAGATAGAAATAGCAACGGAGTCTATCTCTTCATGTTCTTGTGCAAATTCAACAAGCAGACACCTGCAGTGGAATGGCACCTGATACACAATAAGCACTTGTACAAGTCAGCTATTACAGTCGCATTTAGTCCTCACATCGACCATCTGGTAAGCAGTATAATCCCCACTTTACAGATGAAAAAACTGAGGGTGGTTATGTTGCTTGTCCAAGGTAGTGAGTGAAAACCCACGTCTCTATGAAGCCAAAGCTCCTCATTCCTTCCTGCTGGGCTTCTGAGCACAGACGTCATTGTTGGGAGAGAGGACAGTGGGGCAGGAAAGCATATAGGGCTGGGGTATCAGAGTGCCCACACTCAACTCCCCTATTAGCTGTAACACCTCCACAAATTTCATACCGTCTCTGAGCACATCATCATTTGCAAACTGATAGTAATACTACCTACCTCCCAGGGTTGTTTTAAGGATGTGTATGTGAATGTATGTGAAGTTCCCAGTACAGTGACTGGCACATGCTAAGTACTTAACAAATGACAACAGTTATTTTAATTCTTGAATTGGAAGTGACAAGCGTAAACCATTCTTTAGGGGCTGTCCCTCAATGGCCGCACCTTCGTGAAGTTTTTCCTTAACCCCTAACCTGGCTGGACCTCTCCACTGCTGAATTCCGCATTATTGGTACTGTGGTAGGTCAAGCAGAGAAGAGACCAACGACTTGGAGGACGAGATGGGTCCTGCAGGGGAGGGGAATAGACAGGCAACGAGGTAATGAGTCAACGGTAACATGGTAACACGAAGTCCCAGAAGACCAAGGCTTCCCAGGGCCCCGAGTTTCAGAAGAGTCACAGATTCCTCTCGGGAAACAAACGAAGGCGCTTCCTCCTCAGCTCTGTGAGTCAACCTCAGACACACTCACCTGGCAGACGCACACCCTCGGCAGGTAACACCAGCCTCCTCGTTGCCACCAATGTCTCCTGGAGGGGGAGGTTCTAATTTTACCACTGAGTTCAGTGACGTTGACTTCTCAACTATTCCTTGAGAGCTGAAGCCAAGCGGCTTGTCAGCCAGGTCAGAGAAAACCAGGAGACACACAACTGGAACATCTGACAGAAGAGGGCTGAGATGAGATCAAAATCTGATAGGAAACGGGTGATTATAATGGGGAACATGAAAGCAGAAAATGCCTTCTTTTCAAAGGAATATAAAAGACCATCTCTTCCATCACTGTGAAAGGTAGAGATTATCGTCCTCTTTTCCAGAGGAACAAACTAAATTCCAGGAAGGTTAAGTTTTACAGCCGAAATCACTCAGGTAATGAGAGCAGAGCCATGATTTGAATCAAGGAAAAAGGATATGGGAAAAACACACCTAAATGTTTGCGTAGTTATTCATGAGTAGTAGGATTTTAATTTTCTTCTTTACATTTCTCTGTATTTTCCAAATTTTCTCTGTTGTGTGGTTGCTACTTGTATAATGAGGAAAAAAGTCAATGAAATAGTTTAAACAAACCAGGGCCCAGACTGAGGGCCGGAAGCAGAAACCAGAGGCAGTAAAGAGAGTTCTGTGCAGGAGCCAGGGCCTCAGCGTGTCTGCTGTTCTTGAAATTAGGACAACTAAACTGCTAAGTGGGGGTGCCGTTCAGAGTGAAGAGGGAGGGAGGACGCAAGCAACCCAGGCCAGAATCTGCCTCCTTTTGCCCGGGGCAGCTCGGAGTGAAAGGGGCTCAGAAAGAGAACACTGACCTGTTAGCTGGTCACAAAGACAAAGACTTGATCCAGGAACTACCTAGACCCTGGGGCTACACAGAATCCCAAATTGGAGGGTCTCAAAAGAGAGTTCCTGCACCCCCCAGGGTAGGCCCAGTAACTGCACTTCGCTCCTGTATGCCCTACACCCTTGTAATTGAGCCTCCTGCCCACTGGTGTAATTTGTGTTGCAACCAAGACCCCTGATGTGAAAGCACGAGAACCTGAAGTGAGAAGGAAACCCAGGGTAGACAGACGCTGGCACTCAAAGCCAATGAGGTCAAAGCAGGGATGGTGAAGCCCCTCACTCAGTCACAGTCCCTTTATGTGGACATCAGAGACGTGAGGGAATCAAGAGACAGAGCTGGGAGTGCATTCAACAGGAGAGAGAGGGCCCAGGTTCCCACTCGCATCTTTCTTCCCCACAGGAACAAGAGGACCCTGGGCGATATGAGATTCAAGCTCACCCCCACCATTGTTTCTGCTCCAGAAGCATTTTCTTTTTTCTTTCTTTCTTTCTTTTTTTTTTTTGAGGAAGATTAGCCCTGAGCTAACTACTGCCAATCCTCCTTTTTTTTTGCTGGGGAAGACTGGCCCTAAGCTAACATCTGTGCCCATCTTTCTCTACTTTATATGTGGGACGCCTACCACAGCATGGCTCTTTTGCCAAGCGGCGCCATGTCTGCACCGGGGATCCGAACTGGCGAACCCCAGGCCGCTGAGAAGCAGAACATGCGAACCCAACCACTGTGCCACCAGGCCAGCCCCCATGAGCATTTTCAAACTCCAAGCAGATAGTATGCAAAGCAAACTTTATTTGTAGAAATACAGCTTGGCCGTACCAGATTTCACAGCTGGAAGACACGCAAGTATGGGTTTGGGGAGTTGGGTAGTGTGGTCAATAACTGTAAGACAAGGCTGCAATTTCACTGCGGAACTTCTTGCACGACCCACACGGAGTAGCCATTGGTTCTCAGAGAGCACTGGCATCAGTAAAGATGTCCTTAATTTGATAAAAACCAATAACCCCCTGAGCTGCTCCTCTAGAATTTATAGAGTTTGTTTACTGTACGGAAATACGTGACATGCTCTAGTCAGGCTATAAATATAATCCAGGAATTTTTTTTAGAAAGTCTTACATCAAGTACAAAAATAAGTTAAATAGCAAAAATAAATAAAAATGTTAACTGATAAATATATCCAACAGTAGAAAAGATGTTGCTAAAATCTTATAAAACCGTGATCTAGATTAAGAATGGGGACACATGAAGACAACCACAATAAAGAAACCAATAATAAATAAATAAGGTACACAGTGACCAGCACTAAATTACAAAACAAAGAGATGGTGTTTTGGGGTCCTGCTTCCACATGGACTAAGGGCTGGGACTCTTGGCCAGGAATACACTCAGCCGTGTCATCCTTTTCCTATTCCGCCTCCTCCATCCATCGCAGGAGAATGTCGAGCTCTCCCAAAGCCTTCACCACCGCTTCCCGAGGCTTAAGCTGAAAGAAACATACTTATGTGGTGAGCGAATCATAAAGAGACAACATGCGCTCCCGGGGTAATCCTCTCCTTTCATTGGCGAGTTTGTTAGGGATTGTAAGCAGAGCGTTCTTTTCAAGATGAAGAGTTTGAAAGAAGTTATGGAAACTCAAGATCTCATAAGAAGAAGGAGAATTACTCAGTCCACCACCATAGTCTTACAGAGGGAAACTGAGGCCTGGATAGCAAAATGGGGACTACAAACCAAGTCTCTTGAATCCCAGAGATCAGAGTAATTAGGCTGTTTTTTTGAGAAAGGTCTGTGTGTGTGTGTGTGTGTGTGTGTGTGTGTGTGTGTGTAGGGGCTGCCTACTGTGCATACTTCAATTGAACAAATATTTATGGTGTTAAGCAGTGGGCTGGCTAGAGATTCAGAGATGAATGGCACAATCCTCACCCACAGGGAATTCATAGTCTCATAGTTGAGCGAGGGAGACAGGCAGAACACAACAATTAAAATGTAGTACGGTAAATAGATGATGAGGTCCCCACAGGGTGACACCTAACTCAGAGAAACAGCCAGTACCTCCGTTGGGATGATGCCTAGGCTGAGTCTTAAAGGATGAGTAGGAATTAGTCAGTGAGGAGTGAATTCCTGGCTTTCCTGGCAGACATGCAAAGGCACTGAGGTGAGAAACAGTGTGGCACCGGCGTGTGTGAAATCGTGAGTGACTGTTTTTGAGGGTATGTATAAGTGTATGAATGCTGGAAAACTACTCCCACTTGCTTATGCAGCTAGAAGATCCAGAAGTCTCTGGAGAGACTTGATGGAATCATGGCCCTTCCCTTTCGATTCTCAGAGCATCTTCTGGGGACAGTACCCCTTCTTGAGCCTGAATGAGTGTCCCTGGTTAAAACAGAGGGATAGTCCACATGATCTCAGAGGGCTATTAACCTAAGGACTGACTACAGGATTTCTACCAATGTGAATATTCATCTGCAATCTTAGTTCTGAAAACATACTCATCCCAACAAAAGCCAAAACGCATATACCTCTTCGAAGTGACTCAGAATCCGGCTGTATTTCTCCATTGCTTCCTCCCAACAAGGGCATGTCATACGGTCATGCTAAAAAGAATGCCAAAGAATGAGAGACTTTGTTAAAGATTCTGATTTCCTGCCATTGCCATCGACAAGAAGTCGGGGAGAATTCTACTCTTCCACCCGTGTTCCCGTAGCTATTCCATGCCTACAGAACAGCCTTCCAGATTTCATCTTTTGGGATCACTAAACTAGTCATCAGCTAGAAGAGGAAGTCAGCTTTTGGGGCTCGAATATGGAGCTCATTGCTTCTTTTTAGAAACAGGCGGCGCTGAAGGAGCTTGTGATCAGCGTGTCCTGTCCGGCCTGCACCCCCGGCCCCAGCTCTGGTCTAGCTCCCTCCCGGAGAGCACCCATGAGAAGGGAGGATTGGATTTCCAGGTCCTGTTCACACCCTATTTCAAGATTGAGTCCAGTGGCCTGCTGACTGGCTGCCTGGACACAGGTCGCACTAGGACACTGCAGGATGCCTCGCCAACAGGAAAAGCATAACTTCATGGAAAATAGGTAATTATCATTAACATCAAATAGCTAGCATTTTATAGTTCTTAAGGCTTTTTACATGGAGCATATTACCCAAAAGTCAATAAAACTGAATTCTTATTACCTAAGCACACGGCTCAACACGGGTCATTAGCACTTTTGGACTCAGTTTTTCCCTCCATTAAATGGAGGTAAGAAAGAGTTTGGTTGCTAAGTCATGGAAGTTATGTGCTGAGATAAATCCCTTTACCCCAGACCCTTACTCACACACAGCCGCAGGTCCTTCTTAATGGTAAGAAAAGAGTTGGCAAGACTGCTGAGCTTCCGGAGGATGTGGTGGTCAGGGGTCTGGTAGTTTTTGAAGACTTTGTCCAGGTAGAGTCTCAGGACATGGCGGAGGAGGCAGCACTGACCTGCAGGCTACACAGAGGACAAGTGGCGAGGGCGTCCAGCGACAAGACCCAGGTGGGGCAGAGGCCCCCCATCCCATTTCCTCCCAGAACTCGGATGTGCCAAGCACATACCTCTGTGTCTTGCAAAGACACCATCTTCCTCAAGATTCTGACGTCAATGATCTCATCTTCAGCTAGCTAAACAGAAGGAGGCAAGGCAAGAAAGGCCAGGTCAGTCCCGCTACCGGGGTCGCAGACACCAGGACCTCTCATCCACTCCTTGTCACAGCCTGGTGCGCAGTGTCCCTCTCCAAAACACTTCAAATTCCTGGGGATGCAACCTCCTGGTGAGGAGTCCCCAGCCTGCCTGTTTCTGTGATCACACCGCTGGGCTGCCGGGGGACAGAGAAAGGCAAGGAGAGAAGAGGAGAGGCCGCCACAAGGTTGGGGGGTGCCTCCCTCACGTACCACGCGGTCCCGTATCTCAGAAAATCCATTTCGCATTTCCTGAAGGTTTGTGGTGATCACACAGCTTCCCAAATGGAGTGTCTTCAGCCCAGCAGACGGTGTCCAGAAGAGGCAAAACACAGCAGCAAGAAGGCAGAGGGCAAGACCAGAGCCGTCCATCTTGTGCTGCAATCTGGAGACCACGGGAGCTGGGGATTCACAGGAAAGAGCCCGACTTTAATGATTTCCCCATCTCGTGCCTTAAGAAGCCAACCCAGTCACCAGGGACAAGCCTCTCCCAGGTGTCCCCTGAGAGTGAAACTTAATAGCTTTATCTGGCTTCCCAGGGTCTGGCCCATTCATGTAACTTACTAAGAAGAACTGCTGAGCCTCCTGGAAGAGAAGCCTTCCCTTCCTGTGCTTGTTCAGGGTCTGGGTGTGAGTTGGTGCTACAGATCCCAGCTCCTTTATCCTGTCCCCACCCCAGCCCCGTCGTCATTGCCCGGCACACAAAGCCTGGAGCAGCAGGCACTTGCAGTGAATAGACAGAGGACGACATTTCAGGGAAAATGTCAAAACTCGTTTTGGCGAAATAACGTACAGAGTCTTTCCTTCCAGAATGCCCGTGTTGCTCACCCTCCTGGTCCCCTAAACCCACAGGGGAACTGGGGGAAAGAGGACTTCAGAGAAGTTTTAGCTGAGCCACCAAAAACACATGGGTTATTTGGGGATTATAGATTTATTTCAGCCCCGAAGGCAGATAGAAAGGCAATGATTTCATAACAGACCTACTGGCAGGGAAAGGCAAAATACCGCGGGCGCTAGCCCAGTTCCACCTAAGGCTCCTCCTCCCTCCCGAGGTCTCTGGGCTCCACAGCCCCCTCTACAGGAAGACGGTAGTCAGGTACACACGGCCGAATCCAAGACCCCAGGCTTTCCTGGCCCTGCAACTCAGGCTGCAGGTCAAGTAAGCGATCCCAAAAGAAAGAGGAGAAAGGCAGGGAGGGAGCTCAGTTCTTCTCGGGGTGAAGCTGCTCTGTGAAAGAGGGCATTTTCTGGTGTCCTCTGAGTTTTAAGATAAGATGATAACAGGCTGGGATTAGGGTGAGGAGAGTGAAGCACTCACCTTGGGCACAAAATTTAAGGGGACACCAAAAGCCTCAGTAATCAAGATAAATAATATTTTAACGCACTATCAAAATTAATGAAAAAATCCATGACGAACAAAATATCAGCATTTTAAATAAAACAGAATCCGCTGGTGCCACGCTGAGACATATTGGAACCCAAGACCAAAGGAAAACTGAGTACTCCTACCTATCGATCATCGACCTATCTGTCTATCTAGCGTTTTTATGTATCTTTAGTGATTAATTTTTTCCCAAAAGTATATGATAAAAATATTAGTGACAAGTTTTCTTCCCTTAAAACCAGGAAAGTAAAATTATAATAAATTCTATTTGGGGCATAAATGAAATATTTAAATTTAAAATAATGTTGTGAGTTGTACTACAGCTCCTTTTAAATTTTTCAATATTTTTCAACTACTTTAATGTTTTGGAAAAAATAACACACATAAAAACACACATGCAGGGGTGTACACCTCTCCCGTGCCTCAGGCTGCAGCACGGCTTGGCACAGCACTGACAGTCGTGACCACTCACGGAGCTTCTCCTTTGGGCCAGGCAAGACGCTGGAAGTATTCTACGTTCCTGTCCTCCTGAGACATGGCCAAATGTAGGAAAAGGGAATAAACCGCACACGCCCAAAAGGATCAGAGGGCACGCAGGGTTTTGGAGACGGGAGAACGGGGTCCACATGCCTGCTCTTCAAGTTCCCACTGGTGCAGGTTGTCCCAGTTTGCCCAGGACCGAGCCGGGTCCCAGGACACAGGGCTTTCAGTTTTAAAACTGGAAAAGTCCCAGGTAAACCAGGATGAGTTAGTCACCCTACATCTCTGTGACCTTGGACAAGTCAACTCACCTCTCTGGGTTTTGTTTTCTTAGCCCCAAAATGGTGCTAATTAAACTTACCCCAGAAACTTGTTTTGACATTGAAATAAAATGATGCATGATTTATACACCTAGCACATAGTGAGTGATCGACTGATCTTAAATAAACAGTGATGTTAGTTGCCTTAAACATAGTGAGTGTATAGTAAAGAGATGTTAAAGTCAACAATTCGATCAGCATGTATTGAGCACCCACTGTCTTGAATCTTGTGCTAGGGACTGAAGTATAAAGATGACGTGACAATGCCCTGTCCTCTAGGAGGTTTTGTCCTCATGGCAAGGGCCCTTCGGATCTGGCCCTGAACACACCAGGGTAAATGAGTGGGAGACGTGGGCTGCCCCAGAACTGTGCCAATAGCAGCTAGGTCGGGGAAGGGCTCTTACCTGAGCTCAGGGAGTGCTGATGCTTCTGGCCTCCTAGGAGTCTGTCTCCAGCTAAGAGGCTTCCGATCATTTATACCTGTGTCACATGAAGGAAGTGAACCTCCATAGCCGAGGGCTGGCACTCCCTTGGAATTTCTCTGGTGGCATCGCACTTCCTCCAGTCCTAAGGCAATCTCATTGCAGGCTGGATTACCTCAACGCCTTCCTCCTCTAAGAAGTGCTTCCTCCTCCAAGAACCCTCCTCTAGGGGATCACTGGTTATAGCTGCTGGATAAAGGACATGCCTCTTTCTTTCTGGTTCCCTTCCACAAGGAACGTAAAATGATAATTAGGACAGAAAAGATTACAGAACTGGAAGAGAATTCCTGGAGATGCTTCTGCCTTCTCCTTTAAATCTGGTTCTCCTTAACAAGGTGTCTCCCCAACCCCAGACACTGAGGGCTCCCTCCTGCTGTCTCTCCTGTGCCTATGCTATTCCTACCACTTTTCTCCTACAAGGGCCGCCCTTCTTTCCCTCCATTCATCATTAAAGAGTGGCCCCCAATTCTTTATTCCTGAACTGCTCCAGGCCAACCGATCTCTCTCATCTGATTTCCAACAGCAGATTTTCTTTGGCCCATGAGAGAGTCTAAAGTTGCCCTCTGTCTCATGGGCCTCAGCCTTTTCTCCCTAACGACACTGGGAGATTTTTTTATACAGGGACTAATCCACAGGAAGGACCACACTTCCAGGCAAGAGAGAATCAAAGCATCTGGGATGAACCACCGACAATGCTTTGAAAACTCTCAACAGGGGAGAGATTATGACATATTCCTTTTCAATCTTTTTCCTACTCAGTACCTAAGACTGTGACATCCCGAATTTGAGTCCAGAGATTCCCTAGTTTATGGGATGACGTTGGCATATTACTGCATCTTTCTGGATTTCAGTTTACACATCTGTAAAATGAGAGCAATAGGACAGACAATGCATAAGATCTTTTCCAGTTCTGACATTCAATGTCACCATGATTCTTTGCTCTTCTGCCTTTTGGATCAGAACACTGTTTTTAACGTCTTTTAATGTCTTCCTAAAGTTCCTTGAAAATAAAGACCATAACTTTCCACTGTGATGCTTGGTAAATGTTGAAAATATGTGTGAACATCCAGTCTAAACATCTCTTGAGCTCAAGCCAGTTTTTCCATCATTGGTGCTAAGCAAACAATTTCTCATGATCATCCGTAGCTGATTAAAGTAAAATTGAGAAGCATGGTCTGACAAGAATATTTGAAATCAAGACTTTCAGGAAATATAAGCTGTATGCATGATAGTCAATTCCTTTCCTTTGACCAAGAAGAAACAAACTGCTTTGTTTTAAGTTACTTCTAATGATGAATTAAACTTAGTTAATCATGTGCAATCCCAATTCTACTTTAATAATCAAGTGTCTCCTTTTTCTATTCCAAAACACTTTATTCTTTTAAAATCTGTTGAATAGATCCCATTCCATACTCTTTATAGACACCAATTTAACTCGCCTTCTCTACAAAATGTGCCCTGCCTCACCCTAACCTCTCTCTCTCCACATTTCTCAAGGAAAAACTGATCCCTCCTGCTCCGGACCACCCCTTTGCCTTGTATATACCGCTTTTGTACTTATCACAGTTGATTGCAATTCCTTGGTTACATGTCTGTTTCCCCCACTAGCCTGAGAGCTCCTTGTTCATCTTCAGGTTCCTGACATGCAGGGGCTCCTGGTAGGTGCTCAGTTAGTACTTGATGACCATTGAATGAGCGTATTGATTTAAAATCCTTTCTTCTTTACGTTACATCCTGAAGCCACAGGATCTCAGGCTTGCCTGATCCTAAAAATGGAGACATAATTCGTAATCAGTAATTACTAAACAGCCTAAAATTCAATCGAGATAAGAGGGTAAGGAGAAGAGAGTAAAAGATAGGTTCGTTTGAGGTCAAAAGGAATATTGATCATGTTAAGCAGTTTGGACTTTATCCAAAAGCAAGGCATTACAAAGGCTTTCAGCAAGGAGCAATGTGATCAGATAGGCACACTAGAACATTCACTGGAAGCCGTGGAGACTGGAGATGGGGAAACCAGCCATTGCAGTAGTCCCCGAGAGAGGTCTCTTTGCAGCCTCAACTAACAGCAGTCTAGAAAGAGACATGTGGGTAGACTTAAGAGCATTTAAGTACATTTAAAAAATATTTGGAGATTGATTAAATGTGTAGATTAGGGAGAGGAAGAATCAAGGATAGTAAAAATATTGCTAGATTGAACTATATGCAATTTTCATCTGCGTAAGTCAAAACTGGTCGATATTGGTACTGTCATACAGCTAACCTAACAATAATTACAGTAATGATGCTGTACAGAGGATCCTAAGCCCAGTGCTTAGCATATATTAAATGCTCTGCACATTGTAATACATACACACACAGATATATGATACACATATAACATATATATACTAGTACATATATAATATACACATTCTCATTAATTCTCATAAAATCGCATTGAGAACATAAACTTCTTGAGGGTAAAAATTTCATCTGTTTTATCCACTCCTATATATTACAAATGCCTGGAATGGAGCCTAGCCCATAGTAAGCTATTAACACATATGTGTTGAGTAAATTATTATCTCTATGAGGGGGGTCTTATAACCCAATTTTCTGATGAAGAAACTTAAGCTTAGAGGTTGAACTGTTTGCCCAAGTTCACCCAGTGGTAAATGACAGAACTTACTCAAAAAATAGCATCTCTTCCTACCGTTATTATTGATGTGAGAATACTAGGGTCCAGGGAGGCAACATGAAGATCAAGGAGGCAGTTGGTGGCAGAATGGGGACCTCAACCCAGGTCTCCTAGTTTGGAATTCATCCTTCTTTGTGTTGAACTAATTGTCCTCAGGGACAAGAGGACTCTGGAAAAGTGGTGGGAATGGAGGTGCCGGGGACCAGGATACCCAGTTGTACTTCTGGTCCTATGTATACAAGGAAGAAGCCCAACAAGATGTCCCAGTTGAGAGCACAGATCACCCATCTCACCCATCTGAGAACCCTCCAAAATTAACACAGTAATAATTTCTACAATAATAGAAAGAGTCTCTCTCACTCTAGCACTTTCCATCATCCCTCCTAGGATTCCTGAATCACTGGGATAATTCCATCCTATCGTAGGTGATGCCCAGCTGCTTGAAGACCTGTCTCATAGGCCATAAAGAGGATGGGTGTAGTTACAGAGTTTGTGAAGCAGACAGGGAATTGTTGCAATCCATTCTCAAGTCCTGGAATCAGAAGGTTTTCAAACTTCCCAACATAATAAAATTCACTTCTTTCTTCTTGGAGCCTGAATTTCAATCATCTCGTGTCTAAGAACATGCTGACTCAGCATTGCAAATAACTGACAGAAATTACTGGGAATTACTGCCACACCTTGAAACAAGATCTTCCCCTCAAGTTGTCAAGGACAGAAGTGAAATAGGGTTTCGTTGTGAGTCTCTGCTCTTTGCCCCTGCCTCCTGGTACAATCCCAGATGCTCGGGAGGACCGTGGACTGCCATGCCTGTGCTCCATGATCTAATCTGGGGGGACCCAGGGGCTCCCCTGCACAATATCTTCTCCAGTGAGGCCTGGAGGGATCACGGATTTTCCAGGTTAAGGAATTCTATCCCAAAGGCAAGGATTTCCTTACCTAACGATAGACTATCACCCCTCACTGTTAGAGCTAGAAGTGACTTCGAGTACACCTAGTCCAATTCCCTCCTTTTACAAATGGGGACACTATGCTTTGCCCATGGTCACTCAGCTGATGAAAGACCTAGAAGTTGAAATCAATTAAGTGTTCTTTCCAATAAATGACACCCTTAACCCATTATGAACTATTCTTCTGTACTAAGTAGTGTCCCTTAAAAATGAGACCAAGAGAGAAGATTTCCCAGCAGAAGAAATGAATCTCCGCTGGAAAGAATGTAAGGCGTGTCAAC